CAAATGAATCGTACAGGGACCACCTCAAGAGGTGGGCTGAGTACAGTTGGTTTCTGAGACCATTTAGAGGAGAAACATTACTCAGCAGTCTGAATCCTCTTGAAATACTGTAACGGCCCAAGGGTGAAACTATGTGAATGTCAAATGAACTCACACCCCTCTAATGGGTCCCAAACACCAACCCAACTCTAGAGGTGCTCTCAGACGCAGGTTGGTTTGTTGTTCGTTTTGTGGTCTGATTGATTCTTGCATTGTAAAAAACAAACAACCCCAGATTACTTTGTGTTTTACTTTATGGTAAAGACCTCAAGGCTTACTGTACATAAACAGGCACAGTTGCCCAGTACAGGGGGTGAAAACAGACCAGCAAAGATCATATTTAAGGTACTACTCAATATAAAGCCCCCATGTGATCCTGTGACAAGACAGCAGAGCTGATGCATTATAGCAATAAGATGCGAGAGCCAGCGTGATTTTACTGTGTTAAAGGCTGAGGCTAGGCACACACGCAATACAGTTAAACCTGCCCAAACTGAAATCACTGTAATGCAGACTTGAGAGGCTTATTGCTATAATTAATCAGAATCACTTTATTTCACCAAGTATGCCACACATACAAGGAATTCGTCTTGGTGAGTGCACACATGCACGATATGTAACATACTGAACAGACCAGACAAGCACACAAGCACCGGACAAGACTGTAAAGTATCTAACAAAGAAAATAAACAATGACAAAAAATATAATATACAGTATAGGAAAATACAGCATTCCATTAAAAAATAATTAACAGATATACAAACAATTAAATGAACGATGGCCCTTTTAAAGGTTTTTAATAGCTTGGTGCTTTTGCAGTTGGAGTATTTTACCATGGGGTCTAACGTATATGATAAATAACACTTTCCAAAATAATTCCTAGGTGAGATAAATCAACTGGTCTGAGATCTCACCCACGCTGAAAGGACCAAAAAGAGAACTAAGTCCATATTAAAGCACTGAGGTCATTTAAGCTGGTTCCCTTTGAGGTTCCCTTTACAGAACTGAGTCTGGTTCTTTTAAAAAACTATATGTGAAAAAACTCTTACAGTAGTCTCAGCTCTCTTTCTGGTCCTCTTCAGCAGTTATGATATCTCAGACCACTAGTTATTCACAATGCAAATCCTTCAGTACTAAAACTCACCTGGATCATAGGAGCATTATGGTTTGACATAACTAGTCCGAAACTAATCCAAAAAAACTTTTTTCATGTTACCATAGTATTAAGTAACCATTTAATAATACACAAAAAGTTGGTTATAATTCAATAAAATAAAGAACATCACCACTCCCATATGCTTTTAATTTACAGTACTGCACTTACATTACCCTTAAACATTAGCTTTGAATAATAATGATTTAATCCCCTAACACCTTTACACTGTTACTATAAACAGTAGCTTCAATTATCTAACAATTTTTGATATTAATGGGCCTCTATGTTGTTTAAGGCAGTGGTTCTGATGGAGTTTCTCAAACTAAGTAGCTTATCGGCATGGGTGGCATGCTGAACCCAAGCAACCACCAGGTGCATAAAAACTATGAACGTAGCTTAGTTCAGCTGTAGAGTGTTTTAGGGCAGTGTTTCTCAACCATGTTCCTGGAACTGTTCTGCATATTTTAGTCTTTTTCCTTCCTTTAACTGTTAATGAGCTGATTAGTTGGATCAGATGTGCGGTGAACAGGGAAAACAGTAAAAAAGTGCTGGGAAATGCTGACTTAGGGCAAGTCAAGATGAAGAGTGTTGTGGCTTTAAGAAACTTATTTACTTTTATTACTATTTATAGAAACTTATGTATATTACCTTTATAGAACCTATTACTTAGACAGGAACAGACAGAATTTTTTTTTTTTTTTCCAAAAAGTCAACAGTGGTAACAGTGGTACAGGGTAACTGTCCACTCATGCACTGCGACTAACCATGAAACCAAGACAATGTAACAATGCCAAATCATATTGGCTGAGCCAGATTCTTTCTGACAGACTTCCACAGACTTTCTGACACCCATGTGCCAGGCTTCCTACCAGGCCTTGACATAAATATGACTGCTCTTATTCCAGGCCTAACCTTATTAGTAGGTTAGGCCTAGTCCTGAACTACACAGCGTTCTTAATAGTTATTCTCCATAAAGAAAAATGTCCAGGCTTAGTCCTTGTCTGGGAAACTGAACCCTAATAGCCTACTAATTGGCATGCTGCTATTACTGCCATTGGTATGCTAATTAAAAAAAATATGTACAGATACTGCCTTTATATCACACTTAAAAATCGCTAAATATCTATTTGTGGTCACATTAACATGCAAGCTAAACTTTCCATATGTGAACAAACGTTCAAAATAAAGGCATAGCAGTGTGGCCAATAACACAATTCTGTCAATATTAGCCTAAGGTCTCCAATCAAGGGATAACCCAATCAGTCATTGAAAGGCTCCTGTGACATGCAACGCTGATAATTATAAAAATTTACAGAGCACAATGGACTCTTACTGTCTGAAATGCGTTAGGAGTAAACCTACTACCGAGTCCCATTAACATTTAATTGGCATAGGCTAACGCTAGCATTTAGTGAATAAGTCAGCTAAACTACGTTAGCCACATTACATTACTAGCAAGAAAGCATGAAGCACCTGCCCGCAACAGCTAACCTTAAGCTTGTGACTGGCAAAAATACTTGATTGGTTTATACATTATGTGTACATTTACTACCAAACAATGATCTTCATTAGACAGAAAACTGTGCAAACACTTCCAAAGCTAGATACTGGGTTGGAAAGGGTTTTCACACTTGCACTCCTAATTTAGGATTTTATCTTGTCACACTAAATATCTTCCTGTCAATACAATCATATATTTGGGTGATGTTGTTTATGGCGTGAGCATGTCCACATTGGCTGTAGTAAAATAGATCATGTGGAATAGTAGCTTTTAATCTGCTGCTGTGTTTTCTATTGCTGTATAAAAGATGTACAAGCCTGCTTTCTTTATTGTATACGTTGGGAGTTTTGTTCAGAGTAATGCTGTTGTCTGACTTATATTCCTATTCATGTTTTCTTGATCAAAAAGGTAGTTTATGACAAAAACAAAATAAAAATCTAAATAAAAATGTTCAAATAACTGCAACTCTAGAAGAGAAGAGAGTATTGAACAGCAGAAATACACACTTGTTTGAGGTGGCCTTAACGCTGTAAAACTGAACGTCTCACTGATGATCCATTCTGAGAGTTTGGCGACGGCCTTTAAACTTGTTTAAATCTGCCACCAGAAGTGTTACTGTGCGTGTCCACGATAGCGATCACTTAAACCCTTCAAGGGCCAGAGCCCACCAGCAGGCCCAAAGTTTTATTACACACTTCTATCACCTAAGAATAGCTTAACCCCGTGTGCATTAAAGTCCCTGTAGTTACTGAACAACAAGCCTTAGTAAGTAATTACCCTGGGATTTTAAGGGGTTCAGTTCAGTATGTGAAATTGAAGCTTCCCGGGTGCTGCCATGTTTTCTATCACTATGTAAAAGATGCACACGACTTCCTATCTTGCTGGACGCTCTGTGTTTTTGGTATAGAGTGACGCTAAAGTCTAGTCATTTTTGGCTTTGTTCTTTACATATTAAATAATTGCAACAATAGCACTGGGAAATCACATTATTAATGGAGCAGATTAAAAACACTTCTTTTGTGTTGGCCTTAAGCCGACTGAGCATCTCATTGGTGACTGATTCTGAGAATTTGGCAGGATTAGTTTTACATGGGGCAGTGGGTCCAGGAGTTAACCCACCTTTCACCAGGCTTTCTCTGTGATTTTAGTCCCATCTGAATGCGTCATGTCCGTCATTTTTAGCAGCACCATGATTCTGCTTCAGTAAAGATTTTGGCACCTTTTACCTTTTATAAAACCAACCAGAGATCATTGACATGTTGGTAAAATCGTTATCGGGTTCTGTGGGAACAGAGTTTCATAAGTATTGAGGCACTTTAAAGAAGAGCTTACTTTTGTTCTCTGTGGCTAAAATCAAGCTGATATGTAACGTTACTCTCCTGCCTCACATATTCAACTCAGAACGTGTAAAATTACAGAAAAATGTTTGATTTTATGCGGTGAAGTTGACCGCTGGCTGTGAACTCCCAAACTAATAGTGATGCTAATGACACAGTGCATTCACCTAAAACAGCAAGACAAATGGTCAGGGTAAGTGGAATAATGGCTAAATGAAATGTTTTAACATGTTTCCTGGAGGGAAGCCAGGGCATGAAATCAAATAGCCATTACCATCTCTGTCATTTATACTAAATTGGTCATAAACATTAACCAGGATTACCCACCTCTCATGGAAAACTACTCCCCTCCAACAGGGCTTTAGACACTGAATCACTCCCTTTTTTTGCACCCACACTGTAAAATCACTGCAGTTTAGTTTAGCTCAGGATGGAATCCAGACAAGTTACTCTTTAAACATTACTTCCTGCTGACTTGATTTAAATGTCTCAACAGCAAAAAAAAAAAGTTTAGTGAATGACTATTAGGCATGACTCCAAGTATGTTACGTATGTACTTTGCTTGGATGTTTTGAGGACTTTGGAAAGATATTTTTAGTAGTAGTGCTACATTAAAATAAATTCAGCCCATAAGAACTCACACATTCATAAAGTTGCAAGACAATCTCCAAATCTTTATGAGCAGCATAATTAGAGTGAATGTTAATCACTGTAAATCACTGTGCTCGAATATGGGCAACAGTCTGATAAGGACTTCACAACACCACCGTAACTATGTAGGTAACACCCCACCCTCTCACCAATGCAGACGTGACCCTAATTCTAAAACATATGCAAAACAAACAGATAAGGCTTCAGCGGACACTAATCAGTCTCTTTTACCGCAAGTGTGACCCAATCAGTGTCATCAGGACAGTCCCCTGACGTCACGTCTAAGACCCTCCTGACTTCTCTCCCCTCCCACAGCTGTCAGCATAACAGTGACCTGCACCAGGCTTCAAAACACCCGACCCAACACGCAACCTCACAATTTACCGCAGGAGAGAAGGAGGAAACGTCCAGGGCTGAATCTGAAGGTAGAAGCAACATCTAAAAAGGGACATCATCTACAATGTCAGGACACACACAGCTGTGGCTGCTCGTAGTAGTGGCTTGGCTATGTGTTTTCAACACAGAAGCATATGCAAGGTACGTTTGTTATGGATGTACAATGAACAATGTGGAAATATATAGTGTTTTTCATTTTTTGTCATAATTTACATACACCAGCTGTCCTTCACAGTGTGAACATTTCATGAAGATTGCACCAACAGAAACGGTGTAAAATTATTTGTAATAAAATAACTTTACATTCACTAACTACATTACACTGAAATGCCAAACATGTTCTAGATATCAACTGGGTAAGTATGTGTAGTACAAACACCGCAGTACTGTGCAGTTATTTGGTTTAAAAAGTTGAGTTGAGTAGTTAGATGATGTGAAAAAAGTGTATACAAATAAAGTACAAACAGTCTAATACATTATATTTCTGTAACTGAATCTGAGCTGGTAATGAAAGATTTTTATTATGGTTTTACTCTTTTTTTATATTTATTGCTTTGAATTTTGTCTTTTTAATTCTAAGTTTATATAACTTACCTGGTACTTGGAGCTGTTTCTGATTCAATTTTCTGCTTAAATGTATAACATTACAGTGACATCGGTGTGAGTTTATACTTACTGCCTTGTAACTCCACATATTTATAAGATATTTTACTTTATCTCCTTTATCAGCTTAATGGTTAAAACCTGTTAATTAGTAACTAATAGCCATTCAGTGTAATTTTGTAAGACTGTCTCTGTACTTTTACCCAAAATAATTACTTAATATTACTTAATAATTAAGGTAATATCTAGAACCCGTTTGGCAATTCTGTGTAATTTAGTGAAACCACATTAGAACTTACCATCATGTTACCCAAAATAATTATGCAGTACTTTTAAAATTGTACCTGATATTTACCCAGTTATTATCTAGAACCTATTTGGAAATTCAGTATAATTTAAGAAGACTGTCTTAGTCTTTAACACCATTTTACTCAAAATATTAAACAGTACATTGGAGATTGTACCCCCTGCTTACACAGATAATATCTAGAACCTGTTTGTAAATTCAGTGTAATTTAGTAAGACTACCTTAGAATTTACTATCATGTTACTCAACATAATGATCTAATACTTTGAAACTTGTAACTTATATTTCCTCAATTATTTACTCAATTAGTAACCTAGAACCTATTTGGAAATTCAGTGTAATTCAGTAAGACTGTCCGAGTACTTATAGCGATTTTATCCACAACAAATTACACAGGACTCTGGAGATTGCACCTCAAACTCAGTTAATATCTAGAACTTGTTTGGTAATCCAGTGTAATGTAGTAAGACTGCCTTGGAACTTGGAACTCATGTTATTGAAAATAGTTATCTAGTACTTTGGAGTTTGTACCTCACACTTACCTGGTTAATATCTAGAACTTAGATCACTGTAAAAGAAAGGATTACTGAAATATGGTTGTTTGCAAAAGTTTGGGCACCCCTGGTCAAATGACATGTTTTGTTGGTTTTCGAAGTGAAAATAAGTTACACATCCTCTACAGAGAACGTCATATATTAGTGTGTTCCCTGCAGAGGACGTGTTAACTTATTTTCACTTTAAAAATCAACATGTCATTTAACCAGGGGTATGCAAACTTTTACACAAGACTGTATTCACCAGGGGTCAGCAACGTACGTCTCTTTTACTGCCCTGTTGCGGTTCCACAGCAGAATTAGATGTTTAGGTAAAAATAAAATAATCCTCCTCTGCAGTTAAATAAAGCTCTGCTGGTCGTTCAACACAGTTTTAATGGTCTAAAACACTGGAGTTAATGTAGAACTGCCAATTCACCAACCTTTTACCCTGAAGATTGGCGTGCAGACTGCTGGTAACCATAGCAATGCAGACAATAATCTCGCCTATGTAGCAGCTGATGGACAGACAAAGAGGAAAATTTAAGACGAACATTGATAATTTAGAGACAAATGGACTTATTTGCTTTCATCATCTCTCCAGCTGGTTTCCTGATACGTTTAATCTGCAATGAGGAACTGTCAAACACTAAAAGTCAGCTTCTCGTTCTCCAGCTTCTTGTTTGAAATGTCCTGTTTCACCTTAAATGGTGCAGCAGTTACATTCTAGCGCCTCAGGCACCATTTAAGGTGGAGCGTGAAAATTCGAACAAGAAGCTGGAGAATGTGAAGCTGACTTCAGTCTCGGAAATAGTCAAATGTTGAGAGACATTTTACAAGAAACTATTCCACTTTTGGAAAAGTTTCCTGCTGGAGATGTGAGAAAAGCAGCTATAGCCGAGCTAAAGCTTAAAGCAGAGCAAAGTGAGTCTGTGTTTCCATTTATATGTTTAGCCTATACTAGTACATCAGCACATACCGAGACATATTTGCAGCCAAGATAGTAAAATGAACACAAAATGTTGTGGCTCCCAACGTGGTTTGATTTTTGCTAAAAGGACAAAATGGCTCTTCTTAACATTTGGGTTGCCGACCCCTGGTATATACTGTTTTCATTCGATGTTGCAATGGTTGAAACTTTTCCTCCATTTATATGGTATTTTTCTTTCCGTATCCACAGCCACCCTTCAATCACTCTTCCTGACTGGAGGTCAAACGCAGGTCAGAATTCATCCTACACGCTTTGCTGTCTGTAATATTCCTCTGAAGATGCACACAAGTATCAGCCACTGTAATATGTTCTGACAGCGGAGAGGGAAATAAGCAAATGTGCCAGAAGTGTGTAATCTGCATACATATTAAGTGAACACATGAAGAAATGTGGCCTAGTGAAGATAAGAGAGAAACTGACGGCAGGCCTGGTATCAGACTCTCGGGGCCACTCTATTTGAAGTGCCCAGAGTGAAGCTCACAGTTTCTCGCAACAGTGACCTGAGACAAAAAAGGGGTTTTATTACAGTGTTAATAGAATTGTGTTTTAGATCAAGAGCACACTTTCAGATGATGCTAGCCTGTTGTTTTCTTGCACTTCTTGCTCTCACCATCTCTTCACTTGCTTTTATTTCCCTTTCTCGTTCCAGATTATTTTACAAGGTGTGATTTTGATGATGATACCTCTCCTTTCTGTGACTGGACTGCAGAGGGGCTAAACAGAAGCCAAACAAGACCAGGTATAACCGTCTTTCAGAAAATGTTTTTTTACTCACTGTATATCAGTGACATACATTTAGGTGTAAAAGTGGAGATGTATTGGTTTGATTTTGCTATACTGTGTAATAACTATATAGTAATTATTTAATTAATACATTAATTAATTAATACAAAAATGTTTTGCCTGCTTACACAGTCAATATCTAGAACCTGTTTCTAAATTCAGTGTAATTTAGTGAGACTGCCTTAGAATTTACTATCATGTTACCCAAAATAATTATGTAGTATTTTTAAACTGTGTCATGTTTTACTTAGTCATTACCTAGAACCTATTTGGAAATTCAGTGTAATTCTGTAAGACTATCTTAGTACCTATTTTACCAGTTTTACCCAAAACAAATCGCACAACTTTGGAGATTGCACCTCATACCAACTCAGTTAATATCTAGAACCTTGACTGAGGCGCGATCTACCAACGTGCACTGGTCAATCGCGATCAGTGCACCCCTGGTGTCCAGAGTGCATGACTGGAGCAGTCAGTGTGAGAACATCTTTTATTGTTAGTTACCTCGGACCACAAATCTGATTATAGTCCACAATCAAAGTGATTAACCATGTAAATCACTCCACCCAAGGTAATAAAATGATCTTTTATTGTGCTATAATCTTCTGAAGGCCAACTCTTTAAACAAACTGCACTCCTAGGTTTGCAGCTTACAAGCACTTACCACTAATCCTGCAAATACTATTACCTTGTGGTCAGAAGCAGTAAAACATCAGAGCATTACGAACACTTTACTAGTCCAAAAGTGTTCTTGTCAAAATTCAGAGTGGAAAGATAAGAAAAATGAATTTAGCCCAATATCATATTGCCTACTGTCAGTTTCATTCCTGACAGGGGGGGGCATCAAAAGAAAAAAGTTCAAATCAACTTCAGGAATGTTCACATAATAAGAAACCCAAATTGCATAACATGCATAACACAAGTAATTCTGGAGAATTTCTATTGGTCTATTCATCATGACATTTTCACACAGTGTGAAAGGCATGACAGCAACACAATATTGTTAATTCTACCTTTTCTGCTGTTTTCTGCTTTGTCCTACCCACTCTAGGGAAATTCTACCTTGCAAAGGATCCTGTGAGCCCGTCAGGCGTGGCTCGACTACAGAGCAGGTTTCTGAACTCTTCTGAAGACTCGTGTCTGCAGTTCTGGTACTATAAACCTCACCAGGACGGCTCAGAACTGCGCGTCTTGCTCAGTGATGATGTTTTGCAGACAGAAATCTGGAGTTCTCTGGCTGCTGAGAGCCATGTCTGGAAAGAAGTGTTCATTCCACTGAACTACTCACAGCTGACTGGAGTGCAGGTGCAGCAGCTGATCCCTTCTCTAATTAAATATTTGCCTACAGTCATTTAAAAATTAGGAGTTATCAGAATGAACTTTATTGTTGTGACCTCTGTTCTTGCCAACAGATTGTTTTTGAGCTAATGCAAGGGCATGGAAATAAAGAAGAAATCATTTTTGATAAGATTGGTGTATGGAGGGGACAGTGTGGTGAGTCTGGTCTACAAAATGTATGAGTTTGTTGTGGTCTTTATTCATGAAGCTTCTTAGAGCAGGAGTGTTGATCTATGATCTGGTCCTATTCCTACTCTGAGAAGCTTCATGAATACAGGCCCTGGTCTGCATCTGATGAAGGGATTTCATGCTGGCTGAAACATCATAGTTTAAACCAAATAAAGTGCTTAATTTTGTTATTCGATAGAACAAAATGAACCTAATAGACTTATTTTGAAAAATTTGGTGGAACTTCCCTTTTAGCATGGAAAGATTTAAAAACCCTTTACTTAAACATAATAAAGCAAATGTGAGTTTCTTTTTCTGCACCAAGATGACAAAAACACTAATGTCATCACCTTTTGCACAGGCTTGCAATGCCAGTCCGGCACCCAGCTTTGGACAGATGAGTCCACTCAGTGTACCTGTACTGAAGGTCAACTCACCTGCACCCAAATCACCTGCGGGGACGGTCAAACCTGCAGGCAGGCCGTAACGTCCACTGTCTCGTCCGGCACCTGCAGAGTTGCCAGTGACCTCCGATACAGAACCTTTGATGGGGTCAACTTCCGTTTCATGGGTCCATGCGCTTACATCCTCACAAAAGTCTGTGATGGGGTCAGCGTGGTACCAGGCTTTGCAGTGGAGGTGCAGAAAGAGCAGAGAAGCAATTCATCTGTTTCCTTGATCCAGCAGGTGAAGGTGAATCTGCAGGGATTGAGAGTGACTCTGCTGAGGAGAGACAGAAGGAGGATCATGGTGAGTGAAATTACCGCTTCGAAACAGACTTTAATAGATTAATACTGCTTCAGCGGTCATGCAGTAATTGGCGAGTGCTGCGGTGATGGCTGTTTGCTCCAGCCCTGATTTAACTAATGCAACCCAGTTTTACTACTGAGGTCTCCAACTTCTGGCATGCCACGTTTCAGCATATACCTGGAGCAAATGTCTGTTGAGACTACAGCCTTCAGTGAAGCCTGAATACCAATGCTTTTTAGTCTTAAAGGGGAATTCCACTGAGTTTTCTGCATAATTCAATGGCTGGGATACAAACAAAGTCATACAGAGTGATTTCATGTGAAATGGTTCATTATGGAGAAACATACAGACTTCTTTACAGTGGTGGTGATAGGAACCAGGGGTCGGGCCCAGATCATCCAATGGGTTTTATGGGCATATGCCCAGTGACTAGGGGGTCCCCACAAGCAATTATGAGAAAATCTAAACAGCTGTTTTGACTTGCAGTGGGAACTTTACTAGAAGCACAGCGGTATAAATAAACTAAAACCATGTCCTAACAGCAGGCAATGCGAGTGACAACAACAAAACCAAAACGCTTTCTTTATAAATAATGAGGATGTCTACACCAGCTGAGAACGGCAGAGAGGATGGGATGTGGCGCCGTTTTTGACGGACGCTCAGTTTCTGTTTTTGACACATCGCCGGAGAACTTGTAGAGAGGAGAATTACTACTCTGTCATGGCTTATGGGTTTCTCAAACGCTAGAGGGCGCTCCTGAGCAAGTCCAAAATGAATGGGTTAAGATGTTAAACATTTTTAATATAAAATAATACATTCATTTTTTTAAACACAGAACAGCATAAAACATTTTAACACCGTTGTTATATTTTTGAGCGTTACAGGAGTTTAAAACGGCGCCTCATGTACGTTCATAACGCCAGTGAGCACGAACAGCCAATGAGCTGCTCTGCTTGCCAACTAATCAGCACTCAGTAGCAGTAATGTTGCCCAAAACCTGTTTGCTGTAGAAAAAAGGAACCTGCAGGTTATTTTTCTTTGCTTTTTAGCAAATTACACCCTTCTTCTTTTGAAAATTCTGGGCAAGTGATTACACACTATTTTAACTTTTCCTTTTTTCATTCATTGAGGACTCGCTCGTAGGCGCCCTCTGGCATTTTACAGTCCTGTTTTTGATATAATGGGGGAAATAGGAATGCGGCCAGGCTCCTTACGTCGCTTTGTGTTGCAATTCCACCTTAAAATGGATGAGAAGAAACAAAGTGGAGAAGAGAGGGATCTCTACAACCCTTCCAGTAAACAATTTGGAGAGAAACAGCCAGAGTGCTGGAAGTTAGAGGTGAAAACCCTTTATTTTGTGTTAAATAACTAGCTATGTAAGTTAGATTAACTAGCTAGCCAAGTAGATACAAGTTAGCATAACCGAGATGCCCATATAATGTTATTTAGACTAATGATGTTAAATATGGGGAAAAATGTAACCATTACAAACGCATGCCCCAAACCACAGCTGGACAGCTCCATCAGTAAAGCAGCTGTCTTTTGATAGGTCTGTGGTTTGTTTATGTTTTGTCACACACTTGATGTTTCCGATGCTGCATCCAATTCAGTTCTCCCACAAATTAAGTCGCGCGTTCACTGAACCCATCACCACCACTGTGAACAATTCTGACTCGGTAAGTTTCTCTAGACTGGAGCATTTTACACTAAAGCATTGACTTTGTTTACATATTAACTATTTAATTGCACAAATTTTTTTAGGAAACAATGAAATTGTCCTTCAGTTGAGAGCATGTAAGATCCAAAAGGGGATCAAAACAGCTTAGTAGAGCAGATGTGCTGCAACAAAGGTAAAAATGGAGACCTAATCAGTCAGTATTAGAGTTTTACTTGTGTCTAAGCCAGTGAAATGAAACAATTTCAGAATAATGCTGTTTCTCTCCTCCCACCAAATCCTTGTGCCCTCATTATTCATAACAACACATAATGAACACTTATCACCCTTTTTCAGGTTAATGGGATTTGGAAGAATCTCCCGCTGAGTCTGTATGGAGACACAGTAAAGGTCACTGCCCAGGGACCAGTCGTGGAACTTCAGACGCACTTCAACCTGTCTGTCTCCTATGCCAGATCCGGCGCCCTTCATGTAACTGTACCCAACCAGTTCAGTGACAAACTCTGCGGCATGTGTGGCAACTTCAACCACATGATGGACGATGACCACAAAATGGTAAACGGCTCTCTGGCTGAGAATGCCCAGGCTTTGGGGCAAAGCTGGAAGAGTGAAGAGCCCCCGTGTGAGGAGCCCACCATGCCTAGCATGTGTTCTGAGGCTGAGAAGCTGGAATATGCCAGCAAAGCTTACTGCGGCATCCTGCTGTCACCCCATGGCCCCTTCTCTGAGTGCTCCTCTGCTCTTGGTGCAGTGAGCTTCTTCAGGAGCTGTGTGTTTGAGATGTGCTCCACACAAGGAGATCCTGAGACCTTCTGTGATGTCCTGCAGGCTTTTGCTAAGACCTGCAGTGATGCTGGGATTCCTGTGACGGGCTGGAGGAATGCAACTTACTGTCGTACGTCTCTCAAAACATTTTACATCATCATATTTCACAATCAGTTTCCCTGTAGTCCCTTTAGGTGAGTGTAGCTAACAGGTAGAGCTGTCGCAATAAAATTCGACATTGGAATATTCATTGAATTCCGAGACAACATGCACATTCCAATATAATGTCCATTTGAATTTTTAAAGCCTCCTATATGCTCCAGGCCAGTTAATTACTGACACTTTCACAAATAATGATTACCAAACGCAGGAAAAGATTTTTAATTGCTAAGCATAAACAAACATAAACAGTATATTGTATATTTTTGCTTTAGTTAGAATAGTATGGTGTTTTACAGAAGTGTCATTCCCACAAAACCACCTCAAACCATATATATATATATATATATCGCTGCTGTCAGGACAAAACCTTGTAACTCCATTTTTGTTGTATTTTGACACAATTTGAAAATATCTGTTGGCCTTTACACTTTGTGTAAATTTCATGATTAATGAGCCAAAAGAAATGGCCAAAAATGACTTGTAAAGAAGGTTTTTCCTTCTGCTGTAAAGTTACCATTTTGGAGATAAAAGGTTTTGTTCCGACAACAGACATGTATATGGGAAAAACACTGAGCTTTAGTCCCAGTTGTGTCATATTTATGAGGATAACTCATCTTATGGGGATATTTTCAAAGATCTGGGTTTTTAGCAGCTCAGTCATTCTTAACAAGGTGATAGGTTTACTTTGTAAACTGAAAAACGCTAATGGGCAAAACATAAGTCCTCATGTGTATGATCTGCTTTAGATGGCAGACTTTTCTGACAAGCCAACACTCCAAATGGAACGATTTGGAGCACAGTGAACTTATAATCACCTAATGTTTAGTTTAGGTTGTTTAGCTGTGTGGCTAAGCTAATACATAGCTACTGCTAAATAAATGACTTTCACTTTCGCTACAGTCGCACTTTCTGTGCAGCCATTCTCTTTAGCTTATAATGACGGCAGAATATTACTTTTTCGTTCTCAAATATACATCAGAATAGATCTGTCTTCCTATCAACCCCCAGCTGAGAATCCCTGGATTAAACACTGTGTGCTTTTGCAGTTGGTTGTGTTGGTTGTGTTCTGCTGCGTGCTCCCTGCTGGATTTACTAGGCTTAACACTTGACTTAGAAATCTGCTGTTTGCTGCAACTAATCAGCTTCTTAGTTATTTTCTATGCAAAATAATGTATGATAATAATTTGATTTCTGATTCTATCTGACAATCCTACTAAGTAATGAAAGTTCATAGCCACCCACTTAGAGCAAACTAAATGCCAAGATCATCACTCGAATCATGTCAATCAATCATGACTGCTGACATGGTTTCTGACACTGTATGACATACTACCATTCAAAAAAGAGCACAAATGTATGTCGCATGGCTGAAAACAGTAGCAGCCATATCAAAGCCTGAAGTTGACAACAGTACATCTTACAGAGTCAGAAACCACATCAGCAAGTCTGTTTTAATATTACTGAACACACCGACACTGTGATAATTCAGACATGCAGGTTTGTCGGGACCAAGAGCTATTTGCTTCCTTGCCCAAAGCCCCGACATATGATGGTTTTTAAAATCTGTACTATTCTGTGCTGTGGTTTTGTTCTAATTATTGTCTTAATCACTTACAAAAAATAAACAAAAATAAAATAAACAAAAATAGAAAGGGTAGAATAAAAGACATCAGCCGCTGAGTTCTTGTGGAAGGGAGAAAAAGCCTTCTTCTTTATTTCAGCATCAGGTGGCACAGGGTTTAGAGAGACCCAACTGCGCAAATACAGTATTCCAAACAACAGTTTATATACCATTTATCTGGGGTAATATGATATCCCCCCGCCTTACTTCTCAAATTTTGATATTAGCTCATTCTCTAATAGGTGCATCTCTTCGTCCATCAATTTGGCCATCGCATGATGAGCTCACTCCTCAAAACTGGCTTCAACAGGTTTTTACCAGCCTGCTCTACCTTTCAGGTCAACTTGCCCCTCTCTTCCCTGGGTCAGTAGGTACACACAGGCCTCTCTGTGAACCCAGAGGCTTTCTAGTGTCTAGAATCTCCTATGCAGACAGACTAAGGCCGACCCTTTGTGAGAGAATTAATATTCTCTGTTAGGCAATACTACCTATTTGGTTATTCATTACAAAATCTAATCTATTTGATTACTGAGTAAGGGAATATTTATTCAAAATTTCTGTCAGTTTCCATAGTATTAACCTGGGGGCTGTAAGCTGGTACTTGTTAGTTACATTAGCCTCATAGCTCCAGTGGAAAATTAAGAAGCAAACTGTGGACAGCAAACATGACTCAGGTGATGAGCCACATTTGAGGTGAGGGGACGTGTACATTTGCTTTTTGGCCTAACAGTAGCTTCAAAGCACAACCCTGGCCAATAAAGTTTCTAGAACGCTTACACATTTCCTTTGAAAGGAAAAATGTATACTTTCAGGCAGATGTGTTCCTCTGTGTTCCTGGAGATCTATTGCCCTGCAGAGTTTCGTTCCACACCTAATCAAACACACCTTATTCAAATAATCAGTGTCTTTAAGAGCACACGAAACTTGGAGCAAGGTACATTGGATTGCTTGATTCCCAGGGTCATTCTTCTGCTTTCTTTTGTTATCTTATGCCTTCAACAGTTATCTTTACTACAGTCACACTATGTGACCTATAAATGATAACATGCCATATGGTAAGTTGATGTTTATTATTGATTTTATTATTGTTAGTAGCAGTAGTAGCAGCAGAAGTATTATAAGCTTATTGAATGTACTAATATGTTAAGTTTTTTATATTTTAATCTGGATGGACCATGTCCTGATAGTTGGCAGGAGTGAGTCACTTTGGATCATGCCACGCAGACATCACTAATTATCCCAGTGTGCCAAATAATCTATCCTGTATTACACAACAGTCACTTATTAAACATATCTGGTTGCTACAACAAGCAAACGGAAACTGTTGAGGAACACCAGGTCCAATTATGAGCTGATGACTCAAATAATGTGTTCTAGATGTGCAGGGCAGTAGGTCTGCAGGAACTATGCTAGGAACCACTGATACACTATATGGCCAAAAGTATGTGGACACCACTTCTAGTTATTGGGTTTGGGTGTTTCAGCCTCGTCCGTTGTTAACAGGTGTATAAAGTCAAGCACATAGCCATGCACTCTTCACAGTCTAGCACTGGCAGGGGTCATACTGATGAGCTCAGAGAACTTCAAACATGGCACTGTCATAGGATGCCACCTCTGCCACAAGTCAGTTTGTGAAATCTCTGCCCTGCTAGATCTGCCCCAGACAACTGTAAGTGCTATTTTTGTGAAATGGAAGCACCTAGGAGTAACAACAGCTCAGCCAAGAAGTGGTCGACTATGCAAACTCACAAAGCAGGGTCAGCAAGTGAGCTTTTTGCATCACTCACTACAGAGATCCAGACTGCCTCTGCAACATCAGCACAGGAACTGTGTGTCGAGACCTTCACAAATTGAGTCTCCATGGTCAAAGCAGCTGTACACAAGCTTAACATCACTAGGTGCCATGCCCAGTATGGGCTAAAGTGGTGTAAAGCACACTGCCAGTGGAAACTGTATTCTCTGGAGTGATGAATCATGCCTTACTATCTGGCAGTCTGATGAAAGAATCTGGGTTTGGTGGATGCCAGGAGAATGTTACCTACCTGAATGCATAGTGCCAGAAGTAAAGTTTGGTGGAGGAGGAATAATGGGCTGGGGCTTTTTCAGGGATTAGGCCACTCGGTTCCAGTGAAGGTTAATGTTAATGCCACAGCACAGAAAGACATTTTAGAAAATTATATGCTTCCAAACTTGTGACAAGAGTTTAAGGAAGGCCCTTTCCTGTCCCAGCATGACTGTACCCCTTTGCATGAAGTTGGCTTTGTGTTTCGCGTGGAGGACCTCCTGTGGGCTGCAGAGAGCCTGGACCTCAACCCCACTGAACACCTTTGGGGTTAACTGGAACATCAATTGCGAACAAGGCCTTCTCCTCCTACATCAGTGCCTGACCTCACAAATGCTCTTTTGACTGAATGAGCATGAATTTCCACAGACACTCTCCAAAATCATGTAGAAAGTCATCCCAGAGGAATGTTATAGTTGCAAAGGGGGAGCAACACCATAATAATGCCTATAAATTTGGAATGAGATGTCCAACAAGCTCATATAGATCCATGTACTGTTGGCCATAGAGTGTATGAAAACTTGCCCTCAACCCTGAAACTCACTTTTTCTTCAATTGTCCTTTTCTAGCTCTGGCTTGCGGGGCTCACAGTCACTTTAACGCCTGCTCCAGCGAGTGCCCTGCCACTTGCTCCATGCTGGATGCCCCAGAGAACTGTGGGACCTGTGAAGAGAGGTGTGAGTGTGATGACGGCTTCTTGCTGAGTGGAGAAAAGTGTGTACCTGCAGACGACTGTGGGTGCTGGGTGGATGGACAGCACTATGAGGTAAGTATGGAATGTAGGGGACAGATTAGCCCATTTTTTTACACATTTTGCTTTAGTTTTTAACTAGAACCACAAAGCTAATGTAGCTTACAAGTAATGGAAGCTTAGCTGCACCTGTAATCACTGCGCTAACTGCATGCCTAAATCACACACTTACCCCATTGCACTGATGATAATCTCACATAGCCTTTTATTGTGTTTTTTGGTACTGTATGACATACTGCTATCTATATAAATGGACAAAAATACAGACAAAATCCAAGCTAGACTGATGCTACTGTTGTTTTAATCTATGCAACATACTTTTGTCCATTTTTATATATAACAGTCATACAGTGTCAACAACCAGGAAGTCTATTTGAGATTACTTAACAACTGAATGTGATTTGAGGCAGTAGTGTATGATGATTTAGACTCGCAGTTTACATTAGGAGACCAAGATCCAAATCCAGAGTAGCCAATTTGTGCTCCAAACAAGCAATTAGCCAACTGATTATTTTATTTTGGAAGATCTGTGTAGATATTTAAGAAAAGAAAATAAAGTTGTCCATCAGCCAATTTGGCTATAAGGAAATAAAAATCAGAATCAGCCAGAAAAATTCATGGAGCAGTGGAACCGTGTTATCTGGAGTGATGAATCATGTCTTACTATCTGGCAGTCCAACGGAAGAATCTGGGTTTGGCAGATGCCAGGATAACACTACCTACCCGAATACATAGTGTCAACAGTAAAGTTCGGTGGAGGTGGGATAATGGTCTGGGGCTGTTTTTTCTGTCGTTCTTGCCCCTTGGTTCCAATGAAGGGTGATGTTAATGCTACAGCACACAGAGACATTTCAGACAATTATACGCTTCCGACTTTGTGGCAGCAGTTTAGAGAAGGATCTCACCTGTTCCAGAATGACCATGCCCCTGTGCACAAAGTGAGCTCCATAAAGACATGGTCTCACGAGTTTGGTGTGGAGGAACTCCAGTGGCCTGCACAGAGCCCTGACCTCAACCCCTCTGTACACCTTTGGTATGAACTGGAACGTCAATGGACACAAATTCCCACAGACACACTCCGAAATCTTTTGGAAAGCCTTCCCAGAAGAGTAGAACAACAAAATCAGAATCGACATAAAAATTCATGGTCTGTAAACCTCTAAATTACACAATATTAAACTGGCAGATATACTTGATTACTTGTTAGTTACAACCTCATACTAAAGTTGGAACTTCAGACATCAAATATGAATTACAGATACATTTGGGGTAAAGAGGAACAACAAGTAATTATCAATTTTTGGCCAAACTATTGCTTTAAAGGGCTCATATCATGGAAAAACAAAAATCCTTTCTTTTTTGGAATAATAAAGTTTAATTTTGTTTGTAAACATTGTTGCATTTTCAAAAATCCTGTTCACTCCCCAGCCCATATAGACCATACTGGAAACTAAGCTGCAAAAACAGCTCATTTTGAACAATTTTTTTTTTTGTGATGTCATTAAAAAACAAATCATTTACATATATCCACCTAGTCAGCCTACATCAGCTTAGCCCCACCCATTATCCCTGATGTTCTAAGGAGTGTTTCAGGAGTGTTTCTCAATACAGCACAATACAAGGCAACCAAACAGAAGAGGAGTTATTTACATGTATCAGTCTTAACAGCGCAGTAACAAAAGAAGCCTATTAAATTCTTACGGATGAAGAGAGGTTAGAAAATGCTAGTGGAAAAAAAAAATCAAGACTATTTAACATAAAACCACATAAACGTCAGAAGTGGACCTCAAGAGGAGGATATGGGCCCTTTAAAATACAGTTACAACCTTTCCATCTGCTTCGCTTTCAGAAAGGAGAGACATTCATGCAGGGTGACTGCGAGAAGCAGTGCCTATGTGCAGGCCAGGGCACTGTCCAGTGCTCGGCTGCTTCCTGTGTGGCCCACGAAGTGTGCAAAGTGAAGGATGAGGTCTTGGGCTGCTTCCCCTCCAGCCCAGTCACCTGCAGCATCTACGGTGACCCCCACTATATCACCTTTGATGGCAAGGCCTACTCGTTCCGGGGTACCTGCAACTACACCATCGCTAAAACCTGCACGGCCAGCGCAGCCTCGTTCACACTAACGGCTCGGAATGAGGGGCGGAGCAACTCTTCGTCTCTGAACTCTGTGGCTCTGGATGCAGATGGTCTTCACCTTGTCATCAGGAAGAACAGGCTGGTTTATGTAAGTACTGCTGTTTTGGTTATGCTGTCAGTGTCACTGTACAACCAGTCATGAGCAATGTGCATTGTCCAAGGGGAATTCCACCATTTTTTCTAAATTTCTGCATATTTCAACCGCTCTGGTGTAAGTCATTCAGAGTGGTTTGATGTGAAAGGCTGAAAATAGAAATAAACAGTGACTCTGATTTGCTCACAATGTGGTGATAAGAAACAGGAGTCATGATGTCTGCAGCACCGTAATATAAGCAATTTATCCAAAATGACCAGTGAGCTGCTTAAGTGTGCAAATTGGAAACTGTAAACTGCTTAGTTGTGAAATAGTAGTGAAAATGAAAATGTAAATTTAAAAAAATGCATTTTTAAAAATGCATTTAAGGCTAAAAACCTTCAGGCATCAGCAAATACATACATAATTATCTCTTGTAATAACTTTCTGTGAAGGAGCACTTAAAGGCATTGAACACTTAAGACGTCTGGTTCCTATCACCACCACTGTGAGAAATTCAGACTTGGCAAGTTTTTCTAGAATGGAGCATCTCACATCAAACCACTCTGAATGACTTTGTTTACATCTTAAAAATTGAACGATGCAGGCATTTTAAAAAATTGGTGGGATTCCCCTTTAACGTTCAATATTAGCTATAGTATGTCTGGTTCATCTAATACTGGCCTTTTTAAAAATACTGTTATACCTTAGAATAGCGAGAGTTATTATTTTTGTTTTGCATTCTGCTATGCAAATGTGCACCAACTGGTCACTTCATTAAGTACCCCTCTTTGTTTCTACACTCATTGTTCATTTTATTAGCTCCACTTTCCATACAGGAGCACTGTGTAGTTCTACAGTTACAGACTGTAGTCCATCTGTTTCTCTGTATACTTTATTAGCCCATTTCATGCTGTTCTTCAATAGTCAGGACCCTCACAGGGCAGGCACTGTTTGGGTGGTGGATCATTCTCAGCACTGCAGTAACACTGACGTGTTGGTGGTGTGTTAGTGTGTGTTGCACTGGTATAAGTGGATCAGACAGCAGTGCTGCTGGAGTTTTAAACTTTGTGTCCACTCACTGTCCACTCTATTAGACACTGCAGGTAAAGTCAGAGACGATAGCTCATCTGTTGCTGCATAGTTTGTGTTGGTCATCCTCTAGTCCTTCAACAGGATGCTGCCCACAGGAAGCTGTTGGCTAGATATTTGTAGTTGGTGGACTATACTTGGCCCAGCAATGACACTAACACACTAAGACTAATACCTGCTCTGTGGTGGTCCTGTGGAGGTCCTGACCTTTGAAGAAAAAGATAAAAAGTGGCTAACAAAGTATGCAGAGAAACAGATGGACTACAGTCTGTAATTGTAGAACTACAAAGTGCTCCTATATAGTAAGTGGAGCTGATAAAATGGACAATAAGTGTAGATACAAGGAGGTGTACTTAATAAAGTGACCTATTGGTGTAAATATAGTTTCTCAATCAATTAAATTACACTCATTTGCAAAAGTTTGGGCACCTCTGGTCAAATTCCATGTTTTGTTGTTTCTCTAAGTTGAAATAAGTGAACACATCCTCTACAGAGAACACACTTCTGCACATTTAATACACAAGTACTGTTCATTTTCTGAGTTTAACATATTGAGAAAAAATAAAACATGACCCATGCAAAACTTATGGCACATTTTATGTTTATATATATATATATATATATATATATATGGCAAAAATGGCAAAGTATGATATGCATTTCTGAAAACAAGTTGCATGCACAACAATGACTTAATTCAAATGATAATAAAGCATCTCCTCTTCTACTCCACAAACACAAATGTGCTGTTGATTGAAAAGTCAGAATCCGTACTACTGAATTTCTTTGCTGGGTTCAATGAACTACGAGCGAGAAACAGCTGATACTGATTTACAACATGCTCATGTTATCACCAGTGATAACTGTGACATCTAAGTTAAACGATCAGGAATCTGCAGTGAATGTCAACAGAACCTCAGCAAAGCATTCCTGTGCCAACTTTGAGTGGTTCTGCTGATAGCTGGAAGCAAACAGAAACTCACAGAATGTTGTCCCCATGAGGGAGGGGCTTCCCGGTTCAAAAGTTCAGAGTATCCATAATGTTCATGTTCCACAGTGTTCCAGATAAGATCTGCTAACAGTGTAATATATAAGATCTGAAACTTCTTAGGGTTTGTCTTTGTGTTGATAGGAGTTGCATATCAGTGAGTGCTGACTGATAAAATACAGCCCTGTATGTTTAAGAGAAATGTCACTGCATGCTGTTGTTAAGGTCTTCCAGTATTCTAAACCACTGATTAACCAGCTTGGGTAAGGTACATTCTGAGCTATCTGTATTTACAATAAAAATCTGTATTTCTATAGTGTCACAAACAACAGCTTCAGGATTATTAACCACAATGTTGATGTATAAATAGCAAATATTGAAAAAGACACACAAATAGTAAAAAGTGCTTTCCTCTTTAAAAAGCTTACACAAGACTGGAGCTGCACAGCGTTTGTCACACAAGTGTTTGTAATACAGAATACAGGATAAGATCTATTAGACCATTTTATTTCTTTAATTACCGATTTGTAAAGTTACATTTTTTCACCATTGTAATGTTCGCTAGCTTGACTTCAGCATCACATCATTACAGTTCTATTATTGTATTATATTATGATTAATAGTTGTTAGAGTAAATTAAGTTAACTGAAAAGTGACAGCAGTGTTACCAACACAGTAGGCTTTGACTTGCAGGCCATGAGACCTCTGTAATTCGATATCTCACAGATTCAAAGTCCGATTTCTAACCGAAAATGAAAGCTTAAAATGCGAAAGAAAGCCAACTGCTTGCTTGTGGTTGTTTACATTGCCATGGCTACACAAGTGTCCCTGAAACATCCACAAGTCCTGGTCAGCCAGAGAAGTTTCGTTTTTCTAGCTTTTCCCTCCATTTGAATTACGGAGTTTGAATTTGGTTAATGATCGCCAAATCACATCTATTTAGAATCAGTGAGGTTCTGATGGCTCTGCGTTCCGGTTTAAATGAATAACCAAAGCTAAAATCAATTATAAACATGTTATCATCCCCAGATAAGCAGGCACCCACTGGTCAATATTTCAGATGCTTAACAAATGCGAAAAAGCAGCAGGCATGCGCAAGTCAATGGCATTGTAATGGGTCAGCCTGTGCTGCCGGTCACCACCAGGCGGCTGAGGCAGCGCAGTAGAAGAGCTGGTGGATCTGGGTAAAAAAAAAACTCCAAGTCCCAGAATCCCCAGCGCTAATTAGCATTGAACAGGCACAACTGCTGGGCTCAGCTTAAAAGCCCATGCCAGCAACAGCGCTCTGTTGTACCTTTGTAGAGGGGTGAATGGTATGGTACTCTAGACAAAGGTTTGTATTTGAGAAAAGACAAGAAATGAAAAGAATCCTGCTCAAAACAAAGAAAAGATAAACTCAAGAAGAAAGTTTCCCCCCAGTGAGTGAGGGTAGATTTGTATTGGCTTTGTGTTTGTTTTCATAAACACTTTGTTTGAGCACGCCACTTTTCTGCGTCTCCTTTCTCTGCCCTTCCTGCCATTATGGTAAAATGCCAGCCACCAAAACACAGATCAGCAGTTCAAATCCGGCACCGGTTAAGACCTTAGTGATTCTCCCAGCACTATCATCTTCTGCCCTCTTCAACAAAACCCCTGTCAGCAAAAAAAAAGACACTTGGATCCACCCGTCCCTTCACAGGCACGATGTCAGATTTTTCAAAAAGCTGTGTTTTGCCCGTCCGCATGAAAACACTTTCAAAAATCTCCACCCTGAGAGCATTTCTTTAAAACTGAAAATGCTGTTTTCATATGGACGGGAGGCCAAAATGCAGCAGAAATTGTTTTCAAAAATGTCCAGATACGTGTGGAAAGACCTAAGATAACTCAAAGGTTTCTACCTAACTCAGTCGGTGAGATGTGAACAATTTCAGAGTGGGTTGATGTGAAATGCTCCGTTCTACAGAAACTTGATGACTATCCAAAACCACTAGCGAGCCTACATGTGCTTGCATATGCAATGTTGATAGTGGTAAATCTAAAATAAGACGCTTTCAATGGGAAGTACAGTCTGCATGCCCCTCTCCACCATGAATTTGTTTTAAATACACATATTTTAGGCCAAAATCTTAATTCAAAACTGTGGTAAAAGAATGTATTTTTTAATACTGTAAAAGCATCTCGTAAAGTTTTTGTAACCATTTCATGTCATTACTTTCTTTGGGGGAGCTTTCAGAGCCATTCAATGCAAGACGTCTGGTTCCTATCACCACCAATGTGAACAATTCTGACTTTCTCTAGAACGGATCATTTCACATCAAACCACCCCAAATTACTTTTTTACATGTAAACGAGTTGATTATGCAGGAAGTTTTGGAAAATTGTTGGAATTCCCCTTTTAACATTTACAATACTATGTATGGTTCCTCTTGATGTCATTTTAAGAAAAAAAAAGACTGTAAGACATGCTTTTAGCTTAGCGTTCCTTTTTTCACTTTATTGATGCAAAGTTAATTATCATCTTGTTAGCATGGCAGCTTCATTTATTTGGAAAATATGACAGTATTGAATATTAGCAATATCACTCCGCACTAACTTGATCCTATGGTCTTTTTCCTTGCAGATAAATGGAAGTCAAGTCTCTCTTCCTTATTCACACAGCACCTCAGTCAAAGTATTGCAGACGGGTCAGTATGTGCAGGTGGACACAAACTTCGGTCTGCGGTTCCTGTTCAATGGAAACGACCGACTGTTTGTGCAAGTAGACGAGAGACACAAGGGCACAGTGTGTGGACTCTGCGGAACCTACTCCGGAAGTCAGTTTGATGACTTCTTGACCCCTGATGGCAATGTAGTCCCGTACCCACATGATTTCGCTAGCAGCTGGAATACTCATGACAATGACTGGACGTAAGCAACTGTTTCATTGACCATTTAATCAAGAACACCAACCAGGTGCACTGTTGCTGATGCAGCAGCATTACTGAGATTTTAAAACATGTCATTGTCACTGCTGGGTTGAGAACAGTCCGCTCACCCTAAATATCCAGAAACCCGTGTTTCTGTGGTCAGAAACTGACCACAGATGAAGAGCTAGTACCTAAAACTTGTGAAGGCCCAGTTGATCAACCAGAGAAGTTGAGATTTCTAGCTTTTCAATCCATTTGAATTGCAGAGTTTGACTTTGGTTAATGATCGTCAAATCACATCTATTTAGAATCGTTGAATGTTCTGATGCCTTTGCACTACGGTTTAATGACTAAACCAAAGCTAAATTTAATAATAAACATGTTAGCCAGACACCTAGTGGTCAGCTGTTTTTCAGATGCGTAACAAAAAACTGTTTTGCCCATCCACATGAAAACACTGAAAGTTTTCAAATATCTCCACACTGGACAACGTTAAAATCTCCATTTTCAGTGACTAAAAATGCTGTTGTCATATGGAAGGGAGGCCAAAACACAGAGAAAACAGTTTTCAAAAATTTCCAGATACGTGTGGAAAGGGCCTATAATAACTCAAATATTTCAAAATTTCTACAAAATTTAGTCACTGAGATGTAAACAAATTCAGAGTGGGTTGATGTGAAATGCTCCGTTCTACAGAAACTTGATGACTGTTCAAAACCAAAACCACTAGTGAATCTACACGTGCCTGCATATGCAGTACTGATAGTGGTAAACCTGAAATAAGAAGCTTACTGTGGAAACTACAGGTGTCTGCAGGCACCTCTCCACCAGGATAAAGAGCTAGAGGGGGTATACAACTAAAACTTGTGAAGTCCAGTTACATCAAAGTTTTTGCTTACAAAGGCCCAAATTAAAAAACTAACATAAGAGAATGGTGACAACAGTAACCTTCAAATGCTTCACCATTAATGATTAGTCCAGATAACTAATAAAAAAATAAAAACACATCAAATGTATTTTGATAAATTGTTTTATTTGAACATACTTTTATAACCTAACAAGTTTCTCTTTTAACTTCCTCTCTGGTTCAGTTGTAGCGATGGCTCTCCAGAAGATCCAGAATGTCCACCTGAGCTGGACAACGAGGGTTTCAGGGAGTGCAGCAAACTGTTAGGTGAAGCCTTCAAGGCCTGCCACTGGTTCGTGCCCCCTCAGATCTTCGTGAACAGTTGTGTGAGTGACCACTGCACCTCAGGAGGAGACCTGCCGCAGCTGTGCACTTCTCTGCAGAATTATGTGGCAGCATGCGAGGTGGCTGAGGTGTTTCTGGCAGACTGGTGGAAGGACACTGTCTGTGGTGAGTGGATACTATTAATTACATTCCACCATTTTAGTGTAGTAGTGGGCAGTATGGACAAAAAAAAATGTTAAAGTATAGTTCAAATTTCGAATGGTCAGTATATATCATGGTGTACATACTGTATATTTCCAATAAAACCATTTTAGATGCTTAAGTAAGCCCTTTTTGGAGGTAAACATTGGTTTATTATTGTGGGATGTCCCTTCATGTTTTAATAGAGCCAGTTTAACAACCAAAGTAAATCTGAAATATTGTTATTGTGCAATACAGTAAGAATAAAACTGAACAATGTATAGATTAACCTATGTCAATATTGCTTTCTAACACTAGCCACACTTGCCTGGAAAAAATGATGGCAAATTTTTTACGTCTTAAAGACTGAAGTTGGCTTCTTATTCTCCAGCTTTTTGTTCAGAGTGGGGCTAATGATGGGAGAAAACAGTTGGAAATGGTTAATAAACAAGAATTTTGTGGCTCTTTTAAAGATGGTATATTTTTTAAAAATGTAGTGGGTAGCTGTTCTTCAAAAATGTAACTGTATTCTGAATACTGCCTTCACAAAATGTAACTTGGACTGAATACAGATACTTATGCTCTGTATTCTGGATACATATTCCCAAGACTCGTATTCTGTTACAGCTCAACACTGGTGGTGATGACAGGAACCAGACATCCAGAGTTCAATGCCTCTAAATGCTACACCCTTCAATACAATTACATGAATATGCAGTATGATGCCAGCAACTTTATTTATTTATTTTTTAACAATAGCTTGACAGAAGCATTTGGCCCAAAATGTATTTTTTTAAATCCACTCATGGTGGAGAGGTAGAGAAAGGCTTTTTTCAGGTTCATCACTATTTTACCATCACCAGTATTATATATAAAACTCATGTGGGTTCACTGATCGTTAAATAAAATGGCTGTATTTGCATTGTAGACATAATGACCCCTGGTTGCCATCACCACTGTAAAAAAATCTGAGTCATGGTTTCTCTAAAATGCAGCATTTCACAGCAAACCAATCTGGCTTTGTTCATATTTTAATGTCTAAATTATGCACACTTTTTCTCAGTTCTCATTTAGGGATTTAGGGATATGTATTCATTTTTAGAATTAGAAACTAACTTCTAATAAATGCCACATTACCTTACTAACACTTACCTGTTACTGATACTCTGCATCCACTGCAGCCGTCATCCCAACCACACCACCAACAGCCCCAACCAGTCCCGCACCAACAGACCCCGCCACCCCAAAACCCACACACCCCACCACCTCAACTCCATCTGCTGCGAGTAAGCCATGCGTCTCCCTCAGAGTTAACTCCCAATATTTTCACTGTGATGTTATAACTAAATGGCCTTGAACTGGTTTACACAGGTTGTCCATGGAGCTGTAACTTTGACCAAAATGAATGTGGATGGGAGCAGCTAATCCAGGACAGCTTTGATTGGACAAGGTGGTCTGGGCCGACACCCACTGACTTTACTGGCCCAACCAGTGACCACACTACAGGAAGTAAGAGGAAGGAATAAAATGTTTCTGTCTAACCTTAACTTATCTGTAAAACTATACACTTTAATATAACCTAGTATAGGGGAGTAAAACTGGGTGATCTTTTGAAACTGATTTATGACCTCACAAAAGCCACTAATATCATTACTGACATCATTATTTACAATATAAATACAGTCTATTATAATAATAAACACTATTAATAATAATAAATCTAAAAATGAATAACACATTGTCTACTTGTTGTGCACTACTCTTCAGGTGGCTTCTACATGTATATAGAGGCTGATGGAGTCCACTATGGTGACTCGGCCCGTATGATGAGTCCAGTGTGCAATACTGTGGGCACCCAGTGCCTGACCTTCTGGTATCACATGTACGGTTGGGCGACCGCCATGGCACTAAACGTTTATAAGCTAGACGGCAGTCAAGCTGCCAAAATCTGGTCCAGGCTCAATAACCAGGGCAACAGCTGGCAACTAGCCCAGATAGAGGTTGACTCATTGGGACCATTCCAGGTCAGTAATGACTATACAACAACAATAAAGAGTGCTTTATAATCAAAACATTACAGCTTCATATATGTAGGACAAAAGTATTTCTCTTTCTTTTTGTTGCATTTGAAAACCTTTTTTCCTTGAAATTAGAGTGCTTATAAAATCCGCTTAAAGGCATGCATCCTAGCCAAGCAATATTTCTGTTTATACATTCATATAAATTATTTCAGATTATTGTGGAAGGCATTAGGGGTTCGGATGTTCAGTCAGACATGGCATGGGATGATGTTACAATAACATATGGAAAGTGTGGAGACCTAAGTGTGAACCTAAACCCTGAAACGTCTTCACCAACCCATGGAGACCAGGCCTTTATAACCCCAGGTAAGCCAGATACAAGCAGAGCGTATCGTCGCTGTCGGAACAAAATCTCACATCTACTTTTTCGTCATTTTTCACTTTTGACATATCAGCTCCCATTTCAATGTGTGAGAGTTTCATGATGAATGGACCAACAGAAATGGTCCTTAAACTGCTTGGAATGAACCTCTTTACTTTATTTTACATTAAAAGTTGTGGATGTTTTTTTCACTGAAGTTATGCTGACATTGTGAAGTAGTGCAAAATAAAACATTCAACAGTTTGAACACCCTGGTCAAATGACAGGTTTTGTTGATTTTCTAAGCAAAAAGGAGCGAACACATCCTCTACTGAGAATTTAAATGTGGTATTTTTCTTCAAGTGCATAATTTCTATTTATTTATAGTTCAACATATTGGAAAATAATGAACATAAAATATACAATGTGCCTTAAATTTTGCACAGGCCACATTTTCTGTTTTAATTTTTCCAAAATTTTAGACAACTTGGTTAAATGTTTATTTTTCTAAGCAAAAATAAGTAAACACATCATCTATGGAGAACTTATTTCCTCATATTTCCTCAAATGTTAGAGCACAATTTCTCATTTTTGAAAAAAAATAAAAAAAGCATAATATAAAATGTGCACTTTGCACAGGCAACAGTATGTTTTAGTTTTTTCCAATATGTTACATTCAGCAAATAAACAGTGAGTGTGCATAAAAATGTTTAGAAGTGTGTCTCTAGAGGATGTGTTCACTTATTTTCACTTAACAACAAAACATGTAATTTGACCAGGGGTTTATAAACTTCTGCATACGACTGTATCTAGAAAACAGGAGCTCCTTTTATAAAACTATGACTATTCAATCCCTGCTACAGCTCTGTTTCCTCCAGTTCCATCTCAGCCAGGAAATTCCAGCAGCCATCCAGGTAGGAAGCAAAGCCAGTATTAAGCCAGTATTAAGCCAGTATTAACATTATTCTGATAACAGAATATTCCAGCATCTAGTACTAAATTCATATTAGCATTGAGTCTAAACATTGTGTTTCATCATAGAGTCACAGTTTGAATAATTGCTGTGTTGATTGTTTTTATAGTTTATTATTAAAATATTTGACAGTGTGCAGAATCGACTGTGACTTTGAGAAAGACCTCTGCACCTGGAATCAGTTACTGACTGATGTTTTTGATTGGACGAGACACAGTGGCTCCACCCCCACGCCCATGACCGGTCCTTCCTTTGACCACACAACAGGAAGTCAGTATCCCAATTTACAAGATAATTATAAATATAACATATATTGTGTTAAATAAATAGAAATTGCACTGTTTTTATAGAGGAAATAAGCCAGTTTCACCAAATCATTATACTGTAGATTTTGATCTCTGCTCAGCTCACATCAGTGTTATACTCACCATTTCCATTTCTCTCCATTCATCTCTCCTCATCCTCCTCTTCTTCTCCAGGTGGTCACTACATCTACATTGAGGGAGACAGTGCCACTCATGGCGATACAGCACGTCTCCTCAGCAAGGAATGCACTGACCAGCAGCCGCAGTGTCTGCAGTTCTGGTACCACATGTACGGTTCCAGCTGGACCATGGGCCTGACCGTCTTCCTGCTGCACGGCAACCAAGCCCAGGAGGTCTGGAGACAGAGAGAAGACCAAGGGAACACCTGGCATCGCGCTCTAGTTGACCTCATACCAGAGGGCAACTTCAAGGTCAGTGAGATTGTTATAGCAGTAGCATTAATTACAGCTCTCAGACATAACAGTCTAACTGTGTTAAATATCAGGTCATTCTAAAGTAAATTTACGGTTGGCCATAAGAAAATACTGAACAGCCCAGCATACTAGCTTTAGGTACCGGTTCCTGTGACTGAGAGAGATGAAGATTTTTTAAAATGTATTTTTTATCTCTTCTACATAATCTACAAATGTTACTGTACTGTTAGATTATCTTTGAAGGACGCAGAGGTGATAATGCTTGGTCTGACGTTGCTGTGGACGACATCTCTCTACACAGAGGAACTTGTGAAGGTACTTTTCTACTATTAAGAACTATGCCCAAATTTAATAATTAATTTTTGATTTGATGACACATTGGAAAACAGCTTATAGGTCCATAAAATACTATTTGTGTGGACACACTTTCCAAAAATGGAAGCACACATGTTGTTGTTGTTTATTATTACTTTATTTCTTGATCATTTTAACAATATTTTGTTCATTTTAAAAGCAATAATGGCAATTATATTTTTTGTGAAATATTTTTGCTTCTCATTATTATTTATTTATTCATTTATATGGCATTCTAGATTTAATAAACAATGCAACTGCACTGCCTACACCTGAGGGGACGACAAGAGATATCACAGACAGCAGCACAGCTACAACTCCAGATACCCCCACTCCAGAGACCACCACAATAACCACAATATCGGAATCTGTGTCTGGAATGTGGACTGAGCCTGTCCACACCACAGCCGAGCCTGTCCACACCACAGCTGAGCCGGTCCACACCACAGCCGAGTCAGTCCACACCACAGCTGAGCCGGTCCACACCACAATTGAGCCTGTCCAAACCACATCTGAGCCTGTCCACTCCACATCTGAGCCTGTCTACTCCACAGCTGAGCCTGTCCACACCACAGCCGAGCCTGTCCACTCCACAGCCGAGCTTTTCCACTCCACAGCCGAGCCTGTCCACACCACAGCTGAGCCTGTCCACACCACAGCTAAGCTTTTCCACACCACAGCTGAGCCTGTCCACTCTACAGCCAAGCTTTTCCACTCCACAGCCGAGCCTGTCCAAACCCCAGCTGAGCCTGTCCACTCCACAGCTGAGCCTGTCCACACCACAGCCGAGCTTTTCCACTCCACAGCCGAGCCTGTCCACACCACAGCTAAGCTTTTCCACACCACAGCCGAGCCTGTCCACACCACAGCTAAGCTTTTCCACACCACAGCTGAGCCTGTCCAAACCCCAGCTGAGCCTGTCCACTCCACAGCTGAGCCTGTCCACACCACAGCCGAGCTTTTCCACTCCACAGCCGAGCCTGTCCACTCCACAGCCGAGCCTGTCCACTCCACAGCTGAGCCTGTCCACACCACACCCGAGCTCTTCCACTCCACAGCCGAGCCTGTCCACACCACAGCTAAGCTTTTCCACACCACAGCCGAGCCTGTCCACACCACAGCTAAGCTTTTCCACACCACAGCCGAGCCTGTCCACACCACAGCTAAGCTTTTCCACACCACAGCTGAGCCTGTCCAAACCCCAGCTGAGCCTGTCCACTCCACAGCTGAGCCTGTCCACACCACAGCCGAGCTTTTCCACTCCACAGCCGAGCCTGTCCACTCCACAGCCGAGCCTGTCCACTCCACAGCTGAGCCTGTCCACACCACACCCGAGCTTTTCCACTCCACAGCCGAGCCTGTCCACTCCACAGCCGAGCCTGTCCACACCACAGCCGAGCTTTTCCACACCACAGCTGAGCCTGTCCAAACCCCAGCTGAGCCTGTCCACTCCACAGCCGAGCCTGTCCACACCACAGCCGAGCTTTTCCACTCCACAGCCGAGCCTGTCCACTCCACAGCTGAGCCTGTCCACACCACACCCGAGTTCTTCCACTCCACAGCCGAGCTTTTCCACTCCACAGCCGAGCCTATCCACACCACAGCCGAGCTTTTCCACACCACAGCCGAGCCTGTCCACACCACAGCCGAGCCTGTCCACTCCACAGCCGAGCCTGTCCACACCACAGCCGAGCTTTTCCACTCCACAGCCGAGCCTGTCCACACCACAGCCGAGCCTGTCCACACCACAGCCGAGCTTTTCCACTCCACAGCCGAGCCTGTCCACTCCACAGCTGAGCCTGTCCACTCCACAGCTGAGCCTGTACAAACCACATCTAAGCCTGTCCAAACAACACCTGAGCCTGTCCACATCACAACTGAGCCGGTCCACATCACAACTGAGCCTGTCCACACCACAACTGAGCCGGTCCACATCACAACTGAGCCTGTCCAAACCACAACTGAGCCTGTCCAAACCACAACTAAGCCTGTCCAAACAACACCTGAGCCTGTCCACACCACAACTGAGCTTGTCCAAACCACAACTGAGCCTGTCCAAACCACTACTCAAGCAGTCCAGCCCACAACTGAGCCTGTCCATACAACAACGGAGCCTGTCCAAACTACAGTTGAGCACATCCAGACTACAGGCTCACTAGATACCGTACTGTCATCTACTTCGACAACAGCCAGACCAGTTGAAACAACAACACCAAACACTACAACAACAACCACAACAACAACTCCTCAACCAAGTAAGGAATACAGTCTCTAACAACTGCTATACTATTATAGAAAACCCCTGATTTAAAGAAGTATAACAATACATTGCGACATAATACATTGCGATGTAATGTATTGGTGGTGATATTACACCATTTAATACAGTTGCATTGTTTAATCACTAATGTGTTTGCATTCAGCCCACAACAGTATGTTCAATAAACCTAGAATACGCTCACACCAGTGCATTCAGTAAACCTAGAATTAGGGCTGTGTCTGGTGATGGTTAATCGAGTTACCGTGGTAACAGCCCTCAGTGACAGTAAAAGCTAATTTACTGCCAGTTCAAAGAAAACATAGTTAATTTATTGATTTATTTTGTGCAAGACACTACTACTTCCATATGCAACCCTAACTGAAGTTTTAAATGTTGGGTGATATCTTAAATTAATACGACATTTATTGTACCTAATATAGATGACATCGTTCAAGAAACACAGCTTTGGTGGTTAAACATGCTTCTAGCTGCAGGCAAAAAAGCTGCCTCTATGGTACGGTGTGTTTTAGAATATCCTCAGACCACAGCGTCAGGTTTCAGACTGAGAAGCATCTTTGGTCTCAGGAAAAACATCATGTCTCAGTTCTCATTTATCAGGTGAAATCAGTAGTTTCAAACATCATCAGCTGAAATAGCTCCAGAAAAGTCAAATGGCTAAGCTTAGCTGCCACAATCTCATAGACAGTAAAGTTGGTGTCACATTCACAATTCCATGTTTTCTTACTGGTCTCTGGTCTCAAAAGTCTTTGGACACCCCCCACACTCCAATAATTACATAAATGAAAATAATTGTTTAATTATTAAAAATCAAAGACCTGTGAGATTAGATTTAGCTTTAGTAATGTGAAATATTCTATTGTGTCATCAACATCGTTGCAGTTTTTGTGTAAAATCTGTATCAAATTGAATTCAATTTAAATTGAGATTTCTTGTTTGTCTTTATAGGAGAATATTTCATGTGGCAGTAATGAATAAAAATAGCAATGGGCCTAAAAAACAAAATACTTTTCTTTTTTTGTGTATCTAACGGTTGCATCTGCAGTAGACTATTCCAAGTATTTGATCCCTCTTGAAACCTTGTGATCTGAGTTGTGACGTTTTCACCCTAGACCCAGGACGCTTGCTCTGAGAGTTTGGTACCTTTGTTTGATTTTCGAGCCCAGGAGTGGTCAAGAGAAGCGATCTCTGGTCATCCTGAAATTAGTGGTCTGAAGTTAGGTTCCAGAAAACTCTGGTGTGCTCCACTGCGCATGTCGAAGCAATCTGCTCCCAGCACTGCATGTAGGGTTGCATGATTAGTTCATTTTGTAGCATGACTGCCTCGACTTCGCGTCACTTCCCTTTTCAAGTTTTGGAAAGGATTGTTTAGACAGGAGATTGAATGCAATTGAGTGTTTGTATCCATGGAAAATAATAAAAAAGCAGCAAATGGATGAAGCTAGTGCCTGCCATTTTGCAAACATTGCGCAGTTCCATACGCCACTTTTCTGCTGTTGTTTATTAAATAGCGATGATGTGAAGATGATGAAGAAGTCTCCGCTGACACCGTCTTGCTTGTATAAGATGTTTATTACAAAGTAAAACAGTTTCATATCAAGCACGATAAAGTACCTGAGAGGGGATCCGTGCCAATTCTGAAGTGTCCCCTTCCGAACAGTATGACCTACTGCTTATATAGGGTGGTTGTTATGGAAAAAGGAGACTTTTGCTTGGATACTACACTGCGCACATCGATCCATGATGTGGACGGATTTCTTGTGCGTGTAAACAAACCTGTGATAATGAGCCCCTCCACTAACAAGCCCAGACTCGGTATTTGGGACAAGTGGGTAAACGCCCTGAGGCCCCTGGCACCCCACAGCTGAGCCTGTGGCACTGGCCTCACTGGCCCGGTCAATATTCCACCCCTGCCCCCAATCCGGTATAATCGTTTACTGTGGTTACTGTCTATAGTGTTACCCAAAAATTAGGGTTCTGTATCCGGCACAGGCCTGCCTAGGATGAATTGAATCATAAGCTGCGTGTGGTTGCACCCCTAACAACGTTCAATGCCTCAATCAGGAATAGACAAAACTGGGTCAGGGCTGAATTTACTAAACAGAAGCCTGGTAAAAAGCCTGGTATAAGCCTGGTTTTAGAGGGAGCACCGTTATTTAAAAGCTTTTATAGCTACAACACAATGCATATACATGTTGCTGTTAGCACATAGATTCAGAGCGATGTATGTGAGATTGAATGTTTCCATTCTCCCTTCTCTTTCTCTCTAGCGCCCTCTTGCCCCATTAACAGCCACTACTCAAACTGCGTACCCACCTGCCAACCAACTTGCGAACAACTGCATGGACCTCCAAACTGCAACGCAGACAACTCGTGTGTGCAGGGATGTGTTTGTAACGATGGTTTTGCTCTCAGACAGAGCGTATGTGTGCCCGTCTGGGAGTGTGGTTGCCAAGATGACAATGGCAACAACCATCATGTAAGTACAACAAGTAGTTCCTTATTAATGGGATCAGACTACACCATACATATGCATTTACATAGATGAAGAAAAAAATGTATTTAACTAAACTGAGGATAAGCTGGCACAGAGCATATATATGAAAGCTGTAGACCGCATGTGCCAGAATTTGTCTTGTAAACTTTTCATTGTGCTTTTTGCTGTTTTGATTACATTTAAAAATGGATTTTATATTTTGCTTTTTTTAAAACAAAAGCTGCTTCTTCTCAAACATCCCAAGCCAGACTAACATCGGGTCTCTCCTTTATCCACCTCCAGTTTGGTGAGACGTGGTACAGTCCTCACTGCACTCAGAAGTGTGAATGTAAAAGAAAGGGCAGTCAAGGGGAGCTGAAATGTAAGGATAAGGAGTGCAATGGTAACAAGGTGTGCCTGATGAGCGAGCAGGGAGAATACAGCTGCAAGTCTGCAGGTAAAAAACTGACCAGAAGCCATTTCACTGTTTTGTTTGAGGTGATATGCAGTATATTTTACTCCATTTTACTGTATTACATTATTACTTTGATTGAAATCTTCTTTCCAAAAGACACCAGAAATATACTGTTGCTGTTGTAACAAAGCCTTGCATCTCTGCAATGGTGCCTGCATAGAGAAAGAAAAAGCTGTTCATAGCCACTTTCTACAGACCCCTAAGTGGCCATTCCACTCACGGAGTGGAAATCAACTTAATATAATAAAATAAAAGATTTTTTTGCTCTAACTACCCTGCTGAAAAAAAAAAACATAAAAGCCATTAAGTGTTTCTGTTGGTTCTTGATGGTTTTGTAATGTGTTTTGGCTTTTCTGATTAGTTGATATCACAGTGTAAATCATCCTGATGATTTAAAAAAAGTGACCAATGACTGATTCTAAATACATAAAGGTTGTTCTACAGGAAACTAGTGATATAAACTATTAAGTCAATTCCGATTAGAAAGCAAAACCATTAGGTTTTAATCCTAATAGTTTCTAATAGTCTTTTTTATCAGCAGAGTCAATTATCAGATTAACTAAAACACTGTTGGCTCTCTCTGTGTGTGAAATGTTGTGACTCTGTATTGAGCTGCTAGCGAGTAATGAGGGGTGACAGGCAAGGGGTCTCCACAAAGACAGCCATGCCGAGCTAAAACAGACAGCCCAATTTCATAGCAAACAAAATAGCATTTAAACACAGTAAAAATACTTGCTTGCTCACCTACAGAGACGTAAATCTAGTTTGCTTCCAGTTTTGTAAAATCTTATACATTTCCAATGAAATATATACCATCAACATTATTAAGCCAAAATTCCATACCTCCAATACAGGAAAAAATTGCATGGCTACAATGGAAAGGAGTTAACTTTAACATATTTTAATGTAGTATTTCACATTATATTTCACATTATATTATATTAGACATTTATCATATTATATTATATTAGACATTTATCATGCAATGTTAACACAGTCTAAGGCAGGTGACATTCAAACAGTGCAAAAAAACTTGCAATATAGAGTTGATGTATGACGACAATATGTACATTTTTCAAAATAAAAGAGCTGGATGTATGGATGTTAGTTTTAAGTAGTAATAAAAATAGGCCTCAGAGATAAAAATGGCCAAAACAATGTAAAGGACTATTTATATATGATTTATCATCAAAATCAGTTCAAAGTAAGACACTTCTATCTTAAAAATAAAGCACATTTGGTGTAATTTTCAACAAAAATATCTACATGCATGTAGCGTCAGTCTAGGCTTAATTTAAGATGTTTCCCATCTACTAATGCAGTAAGAAGTAAGGGTTAAAAGTACGGGGTGAGCACGAGTGTTCGAGCACTCAGTTAACAGTTCATGGTTTGGATACTGAAATTATTATTTGGGTATTTGTTACATTTCATCATGTAAAGACATGAGAAAATATACAGGCCAACAATTCAGTGAAATTCCAATCTTAAGTTTTATATTACTCTTTGACACTATGTGACTGAATGTGAAGCCAAGGGGGCGTTTTAAAGAACATGATAGGGAAGGCAGAAATAGGGCGGCCGGCTCTGGCACTGCTTTTTCACCAACTATGCTAATTATTCTAGATCCAGAAACAGTGAAAATATTTATCTGACAAATGAACATATCAGCACATCATCCGCTGAGGAGAAAACACCTTGAGTAGATGAAGACAGTGATCAAAGACCTCATGAGCAGCCAACATTGTACCCAGATAGTGTGGTTAGTCAGCTACCAATTTCCCTTAGCTATTTCTGAATAATAAAACTTTTTCAAAGTTGAAACATGAAGTTTGTTTTTCTTTCTCTTTGTTGCTGCTTTTTCCTTCTTTGCAGTCAGTCAGATATCCATTCATCAACCATTACAGATGCTCAAACATCAAAATAAGCCTAGATGCTCATCCCTAGTTGAAAGTACTGCAACTCCATTTTCTCTTCTGTGTCTCAGATTTCAGTGTTTGCTCCATTGATGATGATCCTGAGTACAGAACCTTTGACAACTTGAATCACAAATTCAAAGGCAAGCACTCATATGTCTTGGTCCAGACCTCCAACCTGCCAAAGAACATTCCAGAGGTCTACATAGAGGGCATCAACCAGAAAAGCAGAGAGCAAGAAAACGGGGATGAAGACCATGACGATGAAGACGTAGATGGCAGGGAAAGGGGTGACGATGATGACAGCAGTGAAGAGAATGATGACAGCAGTGAAGAGGATGATGATGATGGCCGTCTTCGTGCTCTCAGAATCCGAGTGTACAACCATACGGTGGAGTTTAGAGAGGGCAGGAAAGTGATGGTGAGAACTTTAATACTAATACTTTAATACATTTAGTACAACCATATAGCTGTTGCTAAGCTAAAAGGCTTACAAAAAAGCCTAAATCTGATCTGTGACTGCTGGTCATGGAAGCTTATGATCATCGCTGTCAATAAAATGGTCCGATAAAATGTTTCAAAATAACTAAAAGTAATGTTTTTTCCTGCTTATATGCAGTTTCCATTTTGATGCTACTAGGTTTTGTGATGATGACCATGATGATGCGTAATAGGACCAGAACTATACTGACTGTACCTTTGCAGGCAGTATTGTTATCCAAACTGCAAATGGAAGATTTGGAGACAACTATGCACAGTCCCTAAAGAAAAGTCTCCTCAGAACTCGCAACGTTTCATTTCTGAGAATCCTTGAAAAAAACTGCATTAGATAGATGCACTCAATTCATGGTTGATGTTTTCAGTTCCTGTAGGAGCCTAAACAACATTAACAATGAAACTGAGGCCTTGTCCACACATATGTGAATGTTTTTAAAAACTCTGTTTTCCCTCTGTTTTCAAAAAAAACCCGTTGTCAACAGCATCATCTCTACGTCAAAACGAGAGCTGCAAAAACGACTCAGAAACGCTCACATGAACATGACAACCCAGTAGAAGGCGATAACACTCCATAAATTTTGATGCCATTCGCCTCAGGAAAAACATTGTGCACTTGAATACGGCACAAAAAATAGAGTTAGCCCCGAAGCTAAAGCAGATATTTTGTTTCAAAGTGACAGGGAGGTATAACAATTAGCATATACACCAATCAGGCATAACATTATGACCACCTCCATGTTACTACACTCTTTGTCCATTTTATCAGCTCCACTTACTATATAGGTGCACTTTGTAGTTCTACAATTACAGACTGTAGTCCATCTGTTTCTCTGCATACTTTGTTAGCCCCCTTTTACCCTGTTCTTCAGTGGTCAGGACCCCCACGGACCCTCACAGAGCAGGTCCTATTTGGGTGGTGGATCATTCTCAGCACTGCAGTAACACTGATGTGGTGGTGGTGTGTTAGTGTGTGTTGTGCTGGTCTGAGTGGATCAGACACAGCAGTGCTGCTAAAGTATGCAGAGAAACAGATGGACTACAGTCTGTAATTGTAGAACTACAAAGTGCACCTATATAGTAAGTGGAGGTGATAAAATGGACAATGAGCGTGGAAACAAGGAGGTGGTCATAATGTTATGCCTGATCAGTGTACTTTGACCTGCCATCCTTTAAACATCATTAATTCAGTGTTTCACACAGATTCAAAGTCCAGTTTTTCTAAAAAATAACAGCTTAAAAATGCAAAAAAAAATCCTACAGCTTGCTGGGAGTTTGTTTACATAGCTACAGCCATGCCTCCATCTGTAAAACGTCCACATAGTCCTGATCAGTCTTTAGTTTTTCTAGCATTTCCCTACATTTGAATTTTGAGGAACTTATTTCAAATCTGACTTCAGTTCTGCATGCTTAGTAAACTACAGGCATGTACAAGCACTGAAAATGAAACACTGAAATTGTTCTCAGAAATCTCCACCATGGACAGTGCTTTCAAAAATCTCCATTTTTAGGGAACAAAAACTGTGTTTTCTTGTGGACAGAAGGCAAAAACACAAAGAAAAAATATCCGGTTACGAGTGGGCGGGGCCTGAAAGACACAGGTGAATTAGCTGGTGGGATTTTTTCAGGATCAAGATGACAAAATACATATATTTATTCTTATTATAGGTTAATGGGGTGCTGGCCAGTGCCCCTGTCTTCCCCACCCCAGGATTAAAGATTTTGGAGCATTCTTCTCGTCTTTACCTCCAGACTGACTTTGGCCTCTCAGTAGAGTTCAAAGGCAAAGGCAAAGCAGGTAAATCAAAATATTAGTTATGTTAGTTGAATCCATTTATGTTCTATATTACCGGCTTTGTATAAAGTTAAGCCTCCTCCTCCTTTGATTATTTATATAGAAATCTCGCTGCCTGACACATATGAGACAAAGGTTGGCGGACTCTGTGGGAACTTCGATGGCAGGAAAAACAATGACATCATGAAGCCGAATGGTGAACAGGCGAAGGACGTGAATGAGTTTGGAGAAAGCTGGAGAGTCGTGGAGGAAAAACCTGCAGTCAGACGGAGGTAGAGATCAACTACTAGACATGAATTAATTAATAGATTACTTAATGTATTAGGGCTGTCATGATTACTCGATTAAGGTCAATTTGTTGATTTAAAACAATCAATTAAAATGTATGTTATCGATTAATCAGCTTAGTGATTAGTTCATAATTTGAGTGATGAACATGGTATTACGAAGTCGTGTTCAGCAGTCTCAACATTCTTCAAAAGGGGGAGCTATTAGCTCTCAAGTTGCTTTTTAGTTGTGCTCAAAACTGTGTTCAGATATACAGCTGAATGGCAGATATATTTAAAAATATTTGATATTTAGAAAAAATGTCTTAGAAAACATCTGTGCAGGAAATAGATCTGTGAATCTAAAAAACTGCAGTCAGATGTTACAGACCACAAGATGTCATATCGCATGATCTTTAAATATGTCAACAGAATCATTTCATGGTTCAAGCGTCATATCATATCGTTGGGTGGGTCTGCAGTGATTCCCACCCCTGTTTCATGGTTTACAAAGTGTCTTCATCCTTGCTATACAGCATGTGATCTCACAGTTCTATGCATATGTAGCTATTTTATATGTCTGGCACTGTTTAAGCTTTCATTTACATGTAATTTAGCTAAAAATGTACTTTGTGTGTATTTAAATATTGTCTGTGTGCACACAGATACTCCATAAAATCATTCTTTGATATCACTCCACTTAATTCTGTTCTGTCCTCTTTTTTTCTCCATTTTTTATGCAGGCGGTCTTCACTGCTCTACGCTCTCTTAGGCCTACGCCAGTGAAAAGGAAATGAACAATTACATTCTGTATTAAACCGTTTATTAAAATATTAAATTGTTCATTCAAACTGAAATTGTAATTTTTTCTTCATTCATATCAGTCTTGTCCTACGAAGGCTTTCTGTATAGTGTATAACTGTTCAAGGTTTGGAGAGGAAAGTTTGTGACTGTTCTATTTATATATGTATCTATTTTTTAAACTAGATAGGTTTCATTTACACATAATTTAGCTCTGTGCATTAAAATGAACAATTTTCAGACTGTATGTTTTGTTTTTCATTTCTTGCATAAAGCCTGGGAAAAAGGCTTAATACACATACAACATCCTTCATCTCTTGAATGTGGGTGGGTGGTCATATGTAAATGTATTCATGGTTGTGACATCAGAGCACTGAAGACTTTACTATTTTTCAGAGGAACATTTTTGTGTCATTGCTTTCCAAAAATTAAAGAACCACCTGTTTTTCTTCCCGATTTTCATGTTTCTGCATCGTTTGAGCTCAGTAGCTGCCATTTACATTAAGTGAAAATTTCAGGTATTACTTTATCTTGAGTGGTCCTTTTGTAGATGATTAAGAAACTCTTTACAGGATATCAGTAACACATCAACAACATATTAGTGAAGTAGCAGTAGTGAAGCATCTGAATACACTGAATAAATATCTTAAAGATGTACTGTTGATACATTTTATACATTAAGTATCTATATTATGTTACATGAAGTAGACTTAATACGTTACTTCCAATAAGCAAAAACTAACCTTTCCCAACTTTACCCAAAACCTAATCCTAACCCTCACCATGGCTCTAATCCTAACCCTGACCTGAACCTCAATCCAAAACCTAATCCAGCTGAGCTCCAGGTACAGAATGGTGTCAGCAGTGTCTATAACAGCTTGTTGAGGATGTTGAGATGGTCTGTATTAAATCTGTTAGATGTTCAGTTTCTCTCAGGTCAACATAAACAGACTCCAAACAAACGTGAAAAACAACTGAATTCAGCAGATTATAAACAAATTTTGTTTACACAGTTAATTAAAAGAGTCTTGATAATCTACTGAATGTATTCACTGCTGCTACGTCATTGATATGTTGACGTTACTGAGAGTCTGTTGAATGTTTACTTCATCTAAAAGCGATCACTTAAAATAAGATGTCACCAAATTTCATTATGAATAGACCAACAAAAAAGTTACAGAAAAAAAAACACTTGGAAAAAATTTCTTTTCATCCATCCATCTTCTAAACCGCTTATCCTTCTGGGTCACAGTGGGGTGCTGGAGCCTATCCCAGCTGTCATTGGGCAGAAGGCAGGATACACCCTGGACAGGCCACCAGTCCATCGCAGGGCAGACAGACAGACATACATACATACACAATCACACACACTCACACCTAGGGGCAATTTAGCACGTCCAATTGGCCTGACTGCATGTCTTTGGACCATGGGAGGAAACCCACGCAGACACAGGGGAGAACATGCAAACTCCACACAGAAACGACCCGGTCACCCGGCCAGGAATCGAACCCAGGCCCTTCTTGCTGTGAGGCGACAGCGCTACCCACTGCGCCACCTTCTGTTTCTGCCCTCTCCTGTAAAGTGACCACTTTGGAGATACATATAGAGTGAATGATACATTTTGAAACTTTAACAATGTTAGCAAAGTACATCAAACTCTAAAAAAGCACGAAAAAAATTCATGAAATGAATCCATTTACATATTAAAGGCCTCCATTGATGTGACACTAATCTGCTTAAAAACACAAATTCTGGGCTCCCGAGTGGCGCAACCGTCTAAGCGTTGGCCCTTTCATCAGGAGATCGCGAGTTCGATCCCTGGTGATGCTACAGCCATCCGTAGCCGGGAGTCCGAGAGAGCACAATCGGCCTCGCTCTCTCTGGGTGGGTAGGATGGCCCCTCCTTCTCCCCCCATCACTCAGCGCGATGCTAGTCAGCGCAGGCGTCTGTTAGCTGACGTAACAGATCTGGCGGTTGGCGCTTTCCTCCGAGCGCGTTCGGCTGTCCAGTGACGTTGCGTGAGCGGCAGCTCGAAAAGAAGCGGTGGCGCTTCATAGGTCTCGGAGGAAGCCTGTGTTAGCCTTCACCCTCCTAGCGTTGGTAGTATCGTGTGATTGGGGGAGTCCTAACTAGCGGGTGGAATTGGAGACGACTAAATTGGGGAGAAAAATCGGGTAAAAAAAAACACAAATTTTTACTGGGAACATAAAGGTTTGACCCACAACTGCTATTTATTTTGAAGTTGTTGGATAATTTTGTCAAATTAGTAACATTGTTCTATAAAGCTATTTCAATGTAAAATCACTAAAAGAAATGTTTCCGTGATTTGAACATACAGTTGTGTGCAAAAGTCTGGGCACCCCTTGTCAAATTACGGTTTGTTAATTTTCTAAATGAAAATAAATTAGCACATCTTCTACAGACGACACCCTTCTGCACATTTTAATGCACAATTACTGTTTATTTGCTGAATTTAACATATTGGGGGACATAAAACATAAAATGTAACCGTGCAAAAGTTAAGGCATATTTTTGTGTTATATGTAAAACTCTTCAAAGTAATAGAAAAGTAATAGAGTTTACTTTGCAGTACAATGTGATATTTGTGTTATAGTGTTTCCTGTTGAGGATGTTTACTTACTTTCACATAGAAAATCAACTGAGGGGTGCTTAAACTTTGGCATATGACTGTACATTTTTACACACGAGTACATAAACATATACATGTTTAAAGAGTTTATTTCAGAAAATTGTTTCTCATAAAATGTTTGTCTATTATCTGTCTTTTGTCTGTTATCTACATATTGTGCCTATAACATTATGATATTTGCAAAACGATTCTTTTATACTCCATTCAAAACGAAAGACATTGAATACAACTATTTTTAATGGATTTCATTTACAGTTCATTTCATCTGAATGCGCTCTGTGCAATCTGGGGTAATTTGCATCACACGTTTGGCTCTGCATGTCAAAATTTAGTAAGTGAAAAAGATCAGCGCTGGAAATCACTTAATCAGCCTGACCCTGTACAATAAAACATAAAGCTCTTCTAACTGCCTGTTGTCAGATCTTCACATATACTCAGCTCACATAACACCTCCCTGAGTATGAACATCTGAAATTTTTCTCTTCCTCCAGAAACAAAATCAGAGTAATTGGCTCTCAAATACAATGAGCTATCAGAGTTAGTATTGTAAAAGGGAGCTGGAATGATGTGGATTGCCCAATTCTGCAGAAATATCTAAGTTTGAGTTCAAATATTTTAACATGAATTAATATTAGTTCTCAGAATGGGGATTCAGACATTCAGACACTAATGTATCAACACTTAAGATTTAATCACTGATATAATGGATAGGTTAAAGGAGGTAAAGCTGGAAGTGTTAACATGTTAAATTACATGAGCAACAATGTCGAGCAGCAACATGTGGACAATCAGATCAATCAACACTTGCAATCTAGCGTAGAAGGAAGCCTGCAGTGTCAGATTCTTCTGAGGATGCAGAAAAAAAACTGGGTAATCTGGGCTGTAGATCAATTCCCATCAACAGCAGCCTATGTACTGTGCTGTGACACATGATCTGACCAACAGATATCAACACACACATAGCAATGAATGAAACCAAAAGTGTTCAGTATCCAGTGAGCATGGTATCCTGCTTGCTCCAAGTGAGTTTACTGAGTTTACTGAGCATTGTGGAAACCCACGAAGTGCTTTCCAGGTCTTTTGGGGTGCTATATGCTGGTGCTTTGCATCGTTGACACTTTGTGTCCTTTTTTATAAAAAAATGGAAAAAATCAGAAACAATATGCAAGCACAATGTACAATACCCATGTAGAAGCTTTCTAGCCTTTTGGCTTGTGTATGGGCCTTCTAGCTTTCTAATTTGTATATTGGCTTACAAATGGTCTATATTTGCACCCATATATAAGCTTTCTAGCTTTTTTATACAGGCTTACATGTGGCTTTCTAGCTTATATATGGGCTTTCTAGCTTTCAAGCTTGTAAATGGTCTATATACGCAACCCAACACCCAAACACACTGACCAAGTACAAGGTCGACTGCTAAATTATTGGTTTGCTTCAATCTGAAAGTGCATATATTCAGATATTTAAGAGTGTACTTTTTGTCCCACATCTAAAAATCATGTACTGAAGCACTTTGTGTTGTCGCAAGTGTAAAGCCTAAAATATGCTTTCAAATATTAGAGCTGTCCATTGTCTAGTGAGTCTATAGAGCATTGTGGATGCAGGAAAAGCTTTTACTTTCAGGACTTTTAGGGTATTACATGCTGGTGCTTCGCATTCAGTGACCCTTTGTGTCCTATTAAAAATGGCAAAAATCAGAAACAATATACAACAAACACAACATGCAATACCCATTTATAAGCTTTCTAACTTGTTTAGCTTATATATGGGCTTTCTAGTTTTGTAGTTTACATATGAGCCTATATTTGGACCCATCTACAAGCTTTCTAGCTATCTAGTTTGTATGTAGGCTTTCTAGCTTGAATATTTGTTTACATATAGCCTAAATTTGTAGCTACCTACAAGCTTTCTTTCTTTCTTGCTTGTATATGGGCTTTCTAGCTTATATCTGGGCTTACATGTGGCCTTCATTTGTACCCATATAGAAGGTTTCTAGCTTTCTAGCTTGTATATGGGCTTTGTAGCTTTCTAGCTTGTATTTGGGTTTTCTAACTTGTATACTGGCTTGCATATGGCCTACATTTGTACCCATCTACAAGCTTTCTAGCTGTCTAGATGGTATATGGGCTCTATATAAATATATGTCCTATATAAATAAACTTTTGACCTTACATTTGACCTTTATTTGTACCCATATCCAAGCTCTCTAGCTTATATATGGACCTGTTAATTCTAATTCTAATTCTAGCATAATATTTTTTTCTTTTTTTATATTCTGGTCGCACATCTTAGTATCATGTATTGAAGGACATTCATGTGTTATTGCTAGTGTAAAGCCTAAAATATGCAGTCAAATGTCAGAGCTTTTGGGTCAGATTGAAATCAATGGAAAAAAGCAGACACGCACACACACACACACACACACACTATTGTTATACAGTCCACACCTGCATAGGTAACACAACCTTACACTTGTCTGACACTTAAGGTTGCAGCTATACAGCTGTAGTTAGCTGTCTAGCTTGCATATGGCTATAACAGGTCAAACAATTCCACCGCTCCATGACTGATTTGCTTCAAACTGAAAGTGCA